TCGGTTCATATAAGCACTAGCAATAGAAATTTTTTAAGGGCTTGCTGAAAATCGTAATGAAGAACGAAGGATGTTAATCACTCTGATACAAGATTACGCATTTAGGTTAACCTTGTGAAAAACTGTCCACATAGCCTGATACGCTGTATTATCGCGGTACATAATGTTGTTATCGGTACACAATAAAATCGATCTGTTATTGCTGCATTGTTACAAATTGTAATGTTTCTCTGATTTTCCCTTTATCTATTTCTGTAAAAGATATTGGTCAATCTAATCGCGTTAAGGTACATACAACCGTATATGTCGGCTGACCCAGATTACCGCGCCATAAGGTAGCAACTCTATCTTATCGCGGTATTTACCTAAATTATGCATGGTAGCATGCACATATAAAAAAAAACACAAATTTCAACTTGGTTATAAGATGTAACGTCCACGCTTGCACTGGCTGAAAATTTTCACGAAAATAAAGGTTTCAATGCCTAAACTGAATACACTAATGTCAGTTCAGTTGAAATCCATGATAACTACAGTAGTATAAAAAAAAATATGTATCACTTTGTCTGAATTAAGTGCAATGTGGGCAGAGAAATCTATACATATACGAATAAATCAATTATTAATAATATTATTATTGAAATGTTACTAATTTCAAAAGTACTTTAACTATTATTGCTTTCCAATCTATGTTGGATAAGTAGGCTCATTAGCAGCGTTGTGTCTATTTGGGTCCATAATGGCTGCCATGAAATCAAATTGCAACCTTGACCTTGTAATGACATGTATGTCACTATCTGGATATGACGTATAATCATCAAACATCAGACGATATACTAAATATATTTCGTAATCAAATCGAAAGCAGATAGCAAGTTTGACTGGAGTTTTGTTTACGGTGATCAACGTAATTGCATGCACTTTACAAATAAGTGATGTTCATTCTTTTTCATTGTAAAATCATAAAAATTTTGACCTAAAATGAAATTGCTCTATAAGATATTTGCGTCCTTACTGGCTACAGCTTTACATACATCAACAACCGCTAGACGACACGTGTCCAAAATTAAACGGAAAATTCCATTTGATGCGATAATATAGAGCCCGCGATAATATAGCGTTGGACTATATAGTTCAATGCTATATTATCGCAAGCTCTATATTATCGCGGCAAACGGGATTTTCCAAATAATTCTGGACACACACTGTCTAGCGGTTGTTTACAGATGTAGAGCTGTAGCAGTAATAATTCAAATATCTTACAGACAGTTTCCGCTAAAATGTCAACATTTTAAAAATAACTTTACAATGAAAAAGAATGAAGATTACATTTTTGTAAAGTTCGTATAATTACGTTGATCATCATATGAAAAGAAAAATCCAGTGGAATATTCTATACATGCGTTGGCTTTGGATTCGAAATATGTTTAGTGTATTTTCTGATGTTTAATGTTAATAGGTCATATACTGATGGTGACATACATGTTCTTACAAGGTCAAGGTTGCAATTTCATTTTATGGTAGCCAATATGGACCAACATTCACAAAATGTTGCTGACCAACATTCACACAATGGTGCTGAAGATGATATTACTCGTACGTACATACGAATATAATAACAGTTAAACTTTCTTTAAATATGTAATATTTTTAAAATAAAAATATTAATAATAATTGTTATATAATTACATTTATTTGCCCATTTTGCATTAAAATTCATATAAAGTTAAATAATTGTTGTATTTAAATTGTAATGTTGTTATTCATGGATTCCGCATGGATTTACACGTGAATTACATTTGTGTGTTGGATTTTATCATTGGATCCTTTCCTTTATTGTGAAAATATTAAACCAGTACAAGCTTGGACATTTCTTCTCATACGTAAATCGTATTTTACTTTTATTATAATACTTGTGTGCTACCATACGTAAGTTCAGAAAATACCGCGATTATATTGAGTTGTTCCCCATGGTATGTTAATTTGGGTCAGCCATCGTATACCGATTTATTTTCATTTGAGCGCTTGGTTTGAGATTGTTTTTTTTTGTTTTTTTTATAGGAATCGAAAAAAGGAAATTCATTGAAACTTGACAAATTAAAAGAAAGCAACAATATCAAAACAGTTTTAGTATATACAAGTAAGAACAATATCTACCGCGATAATACAGCGTCCCAGGCTACTCAACATTGATTTTGTCGTAAGCATTTATTTTGTCGTGTGTACATAATGACATGGCAACGAATATGGATTTTCTTGGACCAAAATGACGTAAGTAATAAAAATTAAAGGTATGTGTAATCCAGTTTCAAAAACTGATACCCAATATAGTCGGCACTGTAGGCTTTATATATAGTAGGTTTTGTATGACTTATACTTTACCTTGCGATTGCATCCATCGGTTGACCTGCTTGCCCGAAGTAAATGTGCACAGGCAGTGCAGCAATGCAGTAGGGGATACGATATATAACATTGTATTAACGACAATGAGTAAAACGAGGTTTGTAAGCCAGACCACGAGTATATTATTTTTAGACGGCAATGAAAGCACATTGATTTTTTTTTCTCCAGCTATTAAGCATATTCCGGTTACTTCCATTTCGTAAACAATATCAAACTTTATTCTTTTATGCTGGAACATATGAGTCTTCAGTGTAGTTCAAACTATAATGCATTTTGCTTTAAAATATCAGACTCCTGTAGTTTTACGATGATTTCAGTGTTTGTAAATGACGTTTTTTTTGTTTTTTTTTTGTTTTTTGTTTTTTTGTTTTGTTTTTTTTGTTTGGTCTCATCATCAAATTTCCCTTCACGGTGCGCAATCCTGATGTCGTTTATGATGAGGTCGAATACAGCTTTAATTTTCATATATAGGATAATTTTCTATGTGAACTATTTTGATATTTCCTTACTTGCTCTGTCGTCGATTTCGATTTTTTTTTTCAACTCGTATGATTCGCGCTCCAGCTCATCAACCTTATTTTGGATTATTGTTTACAACACTGGTACTTCTGATCTGGTGGAATCTTTCTACAATGAGTTCTCTGCCTCCGATATCCGAATCTCCCGACTCAACTTCCCAATGTGTTCTAGGGTTATGTTGTAAGTTTTTTTTTTTAATTCTAATTTTTACTGCGAGTCTCTCTCTCTCTCTCTCTCTCTCTCTCTCTCTCTCTCTCTCTCTCTCTCTCTCTCTCTCTCTCTCTCTCTCTCTCTCTCTCTCTCTCTCTCTCTCTCTCTCTCTCTCGTACTTTGCGATGATTGCGACAATTTCGTTTCATATTTTACTTGTAGACTCATTGTGGCCATTCTTTCCATAACCTAAGCGAGCGATCTCCTTCTTTTCATCTTAATGTATCTGGCTTCTTGCAAATTGCAACACACATGCTTAGTATGCTGGTGGTGTTTGATGCGTAACCCGTTATGAGGTACTCTGCATTTTACTCCATTGGTTTTGCACTTCAGTTTAGGAATCGCTTCTAGAAATGTTAACGTCCGAAGCCTAATAACGCACGCTGCAAATATTTCCGACAGTGTGTATTCTTTTTTTTTTTTTTGCATTATTTGCATTCAGACTGAGTATATGGCCGACATTGTCAAACTAAATGGAATCACACGCTCATGCACATTATTTAGCGTCAAAGAATTCTAGTCTAAAGATATGTTAGCAGCATATCTAATCAATGGAGGTGATACCTGCTTTGATCGTTGGAAGAAAAGAAGGCATAGTTGTTGTAGAAAAGTTTAACATCAAGGTCATACACACATTCCGTGCACAACCATTATTTACACGTAGGTTCATACTGCAAAAAGTCATTGATCCCTAAAGTGGGCACAAAGTCAACTTCTAAAATGCATTAAAAAACCACTGCGCTGTTTCCAGCTTAAATCCACCAATTTATTTGAGAATTAAACCAATATCCAAAACACGACCGGCCACACTGCTTGACTCAATGGCATATCCTTAAGTATATTGATAAATAAGATTTTGATACGAGAAAGAAAATTTGCAAACTCTGTGTGTGTATGTGTGTGTGTGTGTGTGTATTTACATGACTCATATGTTCCAGCATAAAAGAATATATATATATATATATATATATATATATATATATATATATATATATATATATATATATATATATATATATATATATATATATATATATATATATATATATATATATACTCCATTTAAGAGTGTTTTCAGATTAGCACAATAGTTGAAATTCTCGATTATTTTATTTTTGGATCTATGCGGGAAGAGCTTGCCTGCAATTGGAGATATATGGCATTGGTTCCCGAGACCTAAAGTCATTACGTTTTAAATCTGGTTATCGGATAAATTTCTGGGTGGCTAGTCCATAGATTATTATAACGTCATCATTATTGTTATTTTTTTTTAAAAAAGTCATATTTAACCTACTTTGATGTCTATCCAATTTATGACAAAGTATTTACTATTGTTATTACTTTCCCGTTCATTTATTAACTGGTCCGAGTATCTTGTGCTTGTGTGTGTGTGTTTTTTTTTTTAGCCTTCTCTGGCTTTTTTTTTCAGTATGATGACGATAAATTAACATAACTGAGCTCAAATAATTAATTCTGTTTCCACAGACACAAAAAATAATACTTGTAATTTTATATAAAAAAACCTTATGCATAGCAAGATCTCTAAAACAAGGGTATATTCAATGCATGCTCCATTCATGGTTAATTTAAAAATATTATAGGTGTGTGTGTGTGTGTGTGTGTGTGTGTGTGTGTGGTTTAGATTTTTAACGTAGCTTTAACAGTTTTTCAGTCATATCGCTACGATGTCTGCAGTGTGACAGTTTATAGTGATGTCTAGCACTGGAGCATGATGCCGCAGACATATAGCATGATGTCCCACTCAGTTAAATTATCCTGACACCAAGCCGACCAGTCTTAACACTAACCTCTTAATGCTGAGCGTCAAGCGAGGCAGCTGTTGGTGCCATTTTTTAACGTCTTTGGTATGACTCGGCTGGGTTTCGAACCCACGGCCTCCCGCATCCGAGGTGGGCGCTCTAACCACTAGGCCATCGGAACGATTAAAAAACATTATATGTAATATGCCGTGTGGCTATCAGGCCGTCGAACTTTCCCTATTTACACTAGAAAGTCAATGAACACCATAAAATATAAACAGATCTGATTCCAGCTTCCCATGGCGATATATTATTTGCCTGATAACTATTTTAAGTAGTATTGTTTTCGAAATTCAGATAATTAATTTTAAATCCACGGCAGATAGAACAACATGTCTGCCATTAATCATGTTGAAATAGTGTAATATTTTATTTTTTTTTTCCTGTTCTTTTATTAGACTAAGAACGCATTAGATGTAACAACAGCATCGCGTTATTTCAACTGAAAATTTCAATTATGAATAGTGCATGTATTATCTACATTATAAAGAAATGATTTTCCCTACTGATTCTAACTGTTGCCATTGAGTATCGACATTGCTCTATCATTTGAAGTAAGTCACAGTGAAGACCATGAAATGAAGTCATTTGAGTCTTTCTTTTGTTATATGTGACATATACCGATGGAATTACAATATATATATATATATATATATATATATATATATATATATATATATATATATATATATATATATATATATATATATATATATATATATATATCAATCAATCTCATTTAAAGATTGGTTACAGTATCAGAAGTACCTCACTTTGATTTTGATGTTTATCGATTTATCGATTTCGTGACTTATTAGAATGATTGGAGTCGTTAAAATTGAAGAGTTTTGAACTCTACGTCACATTCGTGCCTGCATTTTTCAAAAGCCGAATTACATAAAACTAACGCAATAATCTTCAATTGATGTCACGTCAGAGAATATTTTCATTTGCAAAGAATATTTTACGCTGATAAAGAATATTTTAAACCAACTCTGGCAGATAATAATTGATTAATGAATTACCGTGGTAATGTAAATGCGATAAAGTCACAGATAGATTCATATAGCATTTTACAAGAATTTATGGAAATATCTAACAGTGACATTATTTTACCCGATTAATGGCATGTGTAACGTTAAATAAAGATCAAATTGCTATTTCGTTTCAATATATCACAAGATTTATCAAAAAAACCCAAAATATATTATATGACTTTTCTAACATATATTCGAAATATATTGATAAATTAATCAACTTGAGAATTATGTTGGGGCAGCAGCAACGATGTAATCAGTGTTATCAGACACAACCTGAAAAGACATTTTTTAACATTACCCCCCCCCCAATAACGGCGCTAATGTTAAATACATTTATGAAACTGATGACGACATGGAAATAGCAAGCGAGAATAGTAGCTTCAGTAGTGAAGATCACCAGGTGTACGTTAATCAGAAATGTTTTAGGATTCGTGTACCGATGGGATTTACATTCACCAATATTCAGAAGAAATGTGAAATGTGGTGCAACAACGCAGAAGTAGATTAGTGCAAGCTCTGGGAAAAGTGTCAGAACAAACTATTGAGGAAATTTACAAACGCTCCAAGACATTTGAATAGTGGACCTCTATAGCGACAAAAATATTGGGCCTGTATAGCGACAAAAAATATTTGGTTTGTATAGGGACAAAAAGAATGATGACGTCACGTTATTGGACATTGGCACGGACACATACATACATACATACATATATACATACATACATACATACATACATACATACATACATACATACATACATACATACATACATACATACATACATACATACATACATACATACATACATACATACATACATACATACATACATACATACATAAATACATACATACATACATACATACATACATACATACATACATACATACATACATACATACATACATACACACTACACGTTAGGGAAATGAGGTGATTATAGACGCACTTCTGTTTTGTAACTTATAGACAAACACACAAAGAGAGACATATTTTGGCATTTTGACTAGTATCCCTTTTCTAGATGGTTGGGTAACCCTGCAAAGGGCGGTTTTGCTCCGGAAGTTATGACAATATCCTATCTTCTATGATTGCGTCACCATTTGACTGCAGGATTTCACACAGTATAGGGTCTTCTGCGGAAAGAGCAGGAGAAATCTTTAATTTCCATTCGGCAGCACACTAAACCTGAGTCCGGCTCCTGTTGATGTTGCTGCTACTGCTCTCTATGATTCTGTAGTCTCTACTTATCGGTCTTCTCTTCTTGTTCTGTCTTGATTTCATCTCTGAAGAGCTCTTCTATCAGGTCATTCATCACTTCAACATCCTGAGAGTCTCTATCTCTTTAGGCTTCGGTATCAGGTTATTCCCTGATACGGTGTAAGTTCACATAAGCTTCGTCCAGCTTGCCCAGTCTTGAACACATCTGCATAGGAGGAGGAGGATCGGACTGGAGACTACCTGGGTTTATATGTCTGAAGCGCGTATGCGATAAAAAGACATGTACTACGATTTTTGTTGAGTAGGAACGCTATATAGATGATCCTTGTGGTGAGCGATAGAAAGAAGTCAAAGAACTCAGTTTTAAAAAACCACCAAGATATTTTTCTTCAAAACATAAGATGTTCTTATTAAAAAAAACAATTCAAATTAATTTTCACAAGGTTCACAACGTTTTGAAGTGAAGTTAGACTTGCACGAATGTAAGTCATTGGTCCATTAATGTACACTACATTTTCTAGCTAAAGACAAAAGATAGCCATAACGGTGACAAAACCATCAATCATCGTTTCTAGAACACATAGGATCAGAATAAGGCACTAAATGTTTTATGAGTGTGATTTGGATTTTTATCGTAGCTTTAACAATTATTCAGTTAAATCGCTGCAATGTCTGCAGCGTGACAGTTTAGAGTGATGTCTAGCACTGTGACATCATGCCGCAGATATGTTGAATGATGTCCCACCAAATCAAGTAATCCTGTCACCAGGCCAACCAGTCCGAACACTAACCTCTTAATGCTGAGCACCAAGCGAGGCAGCTGTTAGTATCAGTTTGAGTCTTTGTTATGACCCGGAGAGGATCGAAGCCACGATCTCTCACATCAGAAGCAGACTCTCTAACCACTAGGCAACTGGAGCTGTAACGTTCTAAGAGATAGCAAAGACTGCATTGGTGAAGAAAATACGCACAATATTGTGCACACACCATGGTATATGTGCCTTGTAACTTCACATTATTGAATCGTGTAGTCTGGGCATTTCTGCTGATAAAGTAGATGATGTCGTCTTCCAAAGGTGGTGATCCGCACGAATCAAAGTACTCCACACAATCATCTTTAAAGAAGTAGACGGATACCAAGTGGGTTCCTGTGAGAAGACTGTCGTCCGTGATGATGACATAAGCTTGATGATCTTGATGTTTGAGATGAGGCAATTCCTCTTTTGCACACACGACAGAATTTCGAGAAGAAGTATACGAACTGTTGTTCTTCTCGTTGGGGTATAGGGTAAGGGGTCAACAAGTACTTTGCAATCTTTCTAGTGATTGGAGCTGATAACTGTGTTTGAAATACTTCTCACGTCTCGTCTTTCTCAGGCATCCGTGGAGGTGCGATTGTTTTCACCGCTCGGGGGTGGGGTGATGGTGGACTTTTCATCGAAGCCTTAACATCTTTCAGCGTTGGTAGAGCTGTTTCGTCTAAACTTTCTGGTGAAGTCGTTGTGACAGCTGACCGTACTGTTAAGATCGTTCCATTTCGGACAAATCGCTGCGATCTATCAACGATGCAATTTATCTTGTAACTGAGACATTTCGGTCAAATGAGGATTTGGAGGCAAATGCGTGGTCCGTTGTTATTGCCAACGATGGAATTCCATCCATCATTTGTAAGGCACTAAAACCAGTTTTCGTCCTTCAATCTGATTTCAGTGATTAAGTTATAGATCTTGTGATTCCAAAAAAAAAAACCCTTTCATTTTCTTGGTATTTTGTATCTTGTACCTTAGAGTAAAACACTTCTCAAAACTTCTCCCATCATAGCTCCCGCTATATCTTTAAGGGGACATCGTTTGGCATTCAGAAGTACAAAACACTGATATCCATCGTTTGCCCAGATCTTTTTATTACTGTAATGCGTCGCCACTGATTGTCCTAGCGTCGTATCAACATGATGACAGACATCACACATCGCGGAGTGGTTCGTAACGGACTAAACTGGGATAGTTCTTGCTTGGATAAAACTCCGAAACATACCCTCCTGGTCGTTGATTTTGGTGGGGATGGTACTTTGTGTTTAGCTGCCATTGTAGCTAAAGAGAAGAGCATCATCGCTGGATGAGAAGATTTTGGAGACACGGGTTTCCTTTGCTTGATCACATTAGGAATAACGTGTGTCAAATTGGGTTTAGCAGGTATCAGCAGCAACAGAGAAGTAGAAGAACCTGAGACTACTGGCACAACTGCCATTAAAGACTCCTCTGTGTTCTCAGCAACAAACGTCAATTGAGAGCAGGACCTGAGCCGTCGTTGTGTATGTCGTGCCCGATCAGGTGGGTGCCACAATTAAGAAAGATGCATTTGGAGTTCCAGGGCTAATCAGATCTATAGAAAAGAGACTGATCAAGTTGCCAATTGGTATGAGTGTGGAGTAGTATGACTATAAACACTAACTATTTTAGTGATTGTGTGTGTTTATATTCGACCGCGTATGCTTGTTTCTTTGTGTGTGTGTTTTATCTTAACAAAAAATGATCGTTGTCCCTAAGCTATGTGGATAGTATAATTTTTTCCTTTCTGTGTTGATAGTGAATGTTGGGGTTATTTCTTTCCTTCTGTCTTGATAGTAGATCATATGTGAAGTTATTGTAAGGGATGTTTTACTTCACGTCCGTGCTTGCAGTATATAAATCATAGCGATCGTCATTCGCGAGCTTTTAGTTATCGCAATACCAAAAATAGGAAAAGACCATAAAAGGTAGGTCATACCTACCTATCTGCCTTACAAATACTGTCGGAAAAATTATGGAAACTATGATCAACAATAGAATAAAGCACCATCTGGATACAAACCAACTACTC